TTTTATATTATTTGGAAGTGGATTTATAATTATTTTTTAAAATATTTTTTATATTAAAATATATTAAAATTATATTTTTTATTTTAAAAAATTATTTTTGAGAGTAGCACATTAAAACAATTCAAAACATAAAAAAATATTTTTTTATATAATAATAATAATAAATTAAGCTACTATGATCCAGAACAGTTGTTACAAACAAGTTACAACTTAATCATAGAAAAAAATCCACAGTTCTTGTTATGTTTATGAATAAAATTAAATCTAAAAAGAGACCTAATAATTCCAAATGACCAATTTTATATTAAAAAAAAAGCTTATAACTTCCAGTTAACCTACTTGTTCAAAGTGAATAACCCTCGAAGTTAGCACGCACTATACTAAACTGCTGGTAAATTAATTTTTTTCTAGCTTTAAAAATATTATAAAGGCATTAAGAAGTGAAATTTTTTATGCATACTTGATGAAATACTATTTAGATTGCAACATATTATTTTTAAAAAATATAAAAATAATAACATATTAGTTCAATTTAAATCAACCATAATTAACTTGTAAAATTCATGTTAAATAACTATACTATGACATTTTAAAAAAAAAACCAAGCTGTCTTTTATAAATTCTAAAATAATTAATAAACCTTGAGAAAATATCCAATTACCTGTGATAAACAGTTTAGTTCTTTTAGTGAAATGGAATAGTATTTTCCCACAGCTTTAGGTTTTTATTAAGTACTCGAGAATTAATGGAGTCCATGGTATACTAAAGGACAAGCAGATGGTGGGCATCTGACAGCTGGCAGCCACCTCCTCACGCAAGCCACGCTTGTTCCTGGTTCTTCAGAGGGCACCTTCGTTTTATTTACCTCCGCCAGTCCCGGTTGACGTGTCAACTGGTCCAAATCGGTGATATTTATTGCATGCCACCCTTGTTCACTCTAACCTAAGAGGCATTCACTTGCTCGCTTCTTTTCTTTTCTTTTCCTGGATGGATCAACCTCTCTGTCACGTGATATCCGTCCGAACTAACCTTTTCCAAACCTGGTGCCTGTGTCTCCCCATGTAGGCTCGGACAACCGTTTAAACCCGAGCCTAAACCCCATAAAAAAACAAAAAAACAACAACATTAACTAAAATAAGAGACAATTAATGATAATAATAAAAAAAACAACGTTTGTTGTTGCCGTAGCAGCAGCAGCAACAGCGGAGCACAAAACAAAGTAGAGACTAGTAGCAGCAGGTCATTACATTTTACATCTTCTCTGAGAAGCCAAAGCAACGAAAAAGCGTACTCATTGAGAGAGAAGAACAGCTACGAGAAGAAGATTCATCAATCTTGTTGCTTCTCTTCAAAGCCAGCCATTCTTGATTCTTTTATTCTTTATGTCCCTCTCTCTCTTTCTAAATCTTGTGATCTTTTTTTTATGCTGATAGTTTTGCCATTAAAGCTTTCACGCCATTTCCCACGAGAAATCGGTAGTCGGAAAGCTTTTTCACCACCAACCCTAAACCTCACCTCCAGTCTCTTCTCTATATAATAATACCCCCTCGTCTACTGCTCTCAGCATCTATCCTTCTTCACGCCGAGATCAAACGACAATGCACCCATTAAGATCATGCTTCTCAGTTCTGTTCGTTGTCTATCTTCTTCAATGTAAATTGTTTTTTGTGCATTGTATTTTAGACCCACTTGATTTCTTAGCTCTACAATCCGTTAGAAAATCCTTAGACGACATGCCTGGTTCCAACTTCTTTGCTTCATGGGACTTCACTTCTGATCCTTGCAACTTCGCTGGAGTGTATTGTGAATCAGACCGGGTGATCGCTCTCAACCTGGGCGATCCTCGTGCAGGGTCTCCTGGTCTAATAGGCCGACTCGACCCTGCCATTGGCAAGCTCTCTTCTCTGACTGAACTCTCTGTTGTTCCAGGTCGAATCATGGGTTCTCTCCCGCAATCAATCTCCCAATTAAAAGACCTTCGCTTTCTCGCTATCAGCCGGAACTTCCTCTCCGGCGGGATACCGGCAACTCTAGGCCAGTTACGTAACCTCAAAACCCTTGATCTCAGCTACAATCAGCTCACCGGAGATATCCCTCGCTCTATAGGTACCATACCAGGGCTCTCCACTGTCATTCTCTGCCACAACCGCATCTCCGGTTCGGTCCCCCCATTTCTCTCAGAAACTCTAACCCGGCTCGAGTTGAAACACAACGAACTCTCTGGTTCCATCTCGCCAACCTCCCTCCCTCCTTCGCTGCAATATCTCTCTCTTTCCTGGAACCGCCTCTCCGGTCCGGTGGACTTGTTATTGATCCGGCTCGACCGGTTAAACTATCTGGACCTGAGTATGAACCAGTTCTCGGGCTGTATTCCGAGTCGAATCTTCTCCTTCCCCATAACCAACCTTCAACTGCAGAGAAATTCGTTTTCCGGTCCGGTTCAACCGGGAGTTGAGGTGACAATACCGACCGTTGATCTTAGCTACAACAGATTGTCGGGTGGAGTGTCGCCCATGTTCTCAACCGTACAGAATTTGTATCTGAATAATAACCGGTTCATAGGACAGGTTCCGGGTAGTTTTGTGGACCGGTTACTGGATGCGAGCATACAAGTACTTTATTTGCAGCATAATTATTTAACAGGGATGCAGATTAATCCAACGGTTGAGATTCCTTTGAGCAGCTCGCTGTGCTTGCAGTATAATTGTATGGTGCCGCCCATACAGACGCCGTGCCCCTTGAAGGCCGGAAAGCAGAGGACAAGGCCTACCGCACAGTGCAACGAATGGAGGGGGTAAATCCTTGAACTGGAGAGGAGGCGCACAATGCGAAGAAGGTTCTTCATGCAGATAGGTTGATATTTTTATTTTATTTTTTTATTTTTGAGGGGGGGTTTTTGATTCGTTAATTTATTTTGTTTTGGGATTGAATTTGAGAGGTAAATGATGGATAAATAAGAAGACTGTGGATACTTGGTGAAATTGTAGGTATTTTAATTAATGGTCATGGCTTCTTATTACGCTGTCATTATTTTATTTTTATAATATAGGTTTATTTCAGCAACATTGTGTTGGTTTATCCTATGGATTGTTATATTTATTATTTTACTGAAGATAAAATATTTTACGTTTTGTTTTATTTTATTTTAGTAATTGATGATGCCATGCCATATTTAGATAGCAATTTTATATACAATCAAACTTAATATTTGGTAAAATTTATGGGTCGCCATTCCCAGAGGAATAGAGCTTCGTTTTTATTATTCTTGGATACATAAAATGTACACCTTTATTAATTAATTCTTCTAGAAGTAAATGCAATGTTCATTTCGAGTGTTTCTTCTTCTTCTCCTCCTGCAATAGAACAACATGATTCTGTGTTTGGTTTTTCCCTCTTTTGATCTGTAAGGGTGGCACTCTTAAGATGATATCGAAGTTCCTGTGGCTTTTCAGCTTTTCAAATGCACGAGGCATGTGAATTTTGAATGCAAATTAATTTTGTATCCAACTCAACTCAATTAGTCTTGCTTATAAAAAATGTTGTTGAGATTTTTTGTTTTAAATTATTTTTTTATAAATTTAAATTGTTTTGATGTTCTAATATTAAAAATAAGTTTTAAAATATAAAAATATATTATTTTAAATAAAAAATATTTTAAAAAATAATTATTATTATAATTAAACAATGAAAGGGTAAAATCACATGGAGTTTGCTTTGGAGTTGGATTTCTATGTGTCTTTCATGCCCTTTGTGGATTTATTATAACTTCAAAGGTTGCTAAATGCTTGAGAAATGCTCATATCTACTACAGTATTGAATTTAAATTTCACAATCTCTCTCTTTTATTATTATTATTATTATTATTCAAATCCAATGAAATAGCAAATAAATAAAAAACTGTGTTAATGCATATTTCATTATAAAAAGTCATAATTGATGCCTAAACAAGTCCAAAAAAACATTTGTTGGTGTCCAATAAAAGAACAAATAGCCTCTTGTAGTTTAATGAATATCCAAAAGAAAAGAAAGTAGATAAAATGAAGTCTAATTGCATCATTTTGTAGTCAGAGGGCACGAGGCAAGAGAGAAAAGCAGAAAGATTAGGTGAGAGTGGATGATAATCTTAAAGCTAAAACGGCACATGATTGGAGATGAAAGAAACAAAGACAAAGGGGCCAGTCAATGTCGGCCTCCCTTTTACTTGTAACTACCTTGTGTTGTCTGGGTTTAGTTGGGGAGTCCCACGTCGCCGCCGGTCAAAAATCATTTCTTTTGCGAACCACCACTTTGACGCTGGGGGTCAAACCACTAATTTCCCTTTCAATTCTTCATGTTTTAACCAGCTTTTCTTTCTTTTTCCCCCTGTTCATGTGTTAGGTCGCTGTTCTTGGTTACATGATCTCTTTAGATACTGTTTATTTTAGTGTTTTAAGAGCTTTTTTTAAAAAAAACAAGAATTCTTTTATTTGTTTTAATTTTTTTTAATGTGTTGATGTTAAAGTGCGGTAATTATGGGCTTTAGTTAGGTTTTGATTCTTCTAAAGTAGGGGCCCACGTATCTAGTGTCCCCTCTCCTCCTTTTCCATCTTTCCCAAGATTACTTCATGTAGTGGACCCCTCTCTTATCGTTCCGAAGCTTGCTTCATAAGCATTCATCCCTTCTTCATTGATCAAGCAATCATTCCATGGAGGTGCCGTTTCCATGTTTTCATGGGCCCTTCTTGCTGTCTCCTCATCATGCTACGCTTCGGGCATTCTAACGATATTTTAGCAGAAGATGAAACCTTCTGCTAAGCTAAGCTTTCAAGTGAAATTTTAAAATATAATTTATGTTATTTAATTCTAATTAACACTTATTACCATTTAATCTGATCAGGGCTCTGTACAGTTCCGTCAAGAGAAACAGTCACTAATTCCATGGATTTTGACATTGCATGGATGTAATTTCAGAGATTCAGCCTTAACCTTTTTTCTGTTTTTTTCTATGAAAGTGGAAAGGAACTTCAAATTTCTCACCTTTTCTCTTTTACAGCTGGTATTTTCTGTCATAAGCCTTCAAAAGCAATACATGGACTGAATGATTTCAAAAGAATTTTGCTACGTACACGATCTATCCACCAGTTGCCATTGAATGCACGGGATACACCCACCAAGCAATCACACAGCACTGCTTGAGGGTCAAAAATCTAAACCCCCGCACTGGTGGTTATTTATGTACAATCCAATATTGTGGATGTAATATGATCAAGAAATCATAATACATGCTAATTTACATCAATTTGAACATGAAAAAGAAGAAATCCGCTATCCACTCACACATAATGCCCATCTTATCAAATATTCTTTCCAAATTTCACTTCCCGAAAGATTTCAAGCATCCAATGAGAGTCCATGCAAGTTGATCACACTAGTTAATCACATAAATCCGATGGTTGAAATTTTTTGGGAAGTGAATTTGGGAGAACGCTTTTGCTAAGATAGCATTACTCTCTCCCTCTTTCTCTCTATATATACACACATATATAATTCTCTCTCTCTACACACACACACACACATATAATTGGATTGGTGGAATTTACTGCAGTTATTGTGTGCTTTCAATCAAATTGTCTCCTTCGAATTCTCTTCTTGGTTGAAGGGACTTGAGCTTCTCCATTGCCAGGAAACTCCCATTTTACGACATCTCCGTCCCAAGAAGAGCTGACGAGCATGGGATAATATGGGTGCCAACTACAATCTCTTACAGGTGATTTATGATGTTGTAGTAATGCAACTAGTTCTCCAGTCACCTGCAAGAAATTTCCAAGTTAATAATCAATGGAAGAGTGGACTCATAAACGATAAAGAAAGGGCACTCTGGAGTCTGGATAGTGTGAAGTCAGCATAATCCCAGTTAACACAGGTAGCTAAATATTACTTCAGCTCGACATCCGTTGGCTCAATAAATCATATCCATAGAAAGTATTCTCAAGCGAAAAAAACTTGTGCAAAATGAATTCACATTTCCATAAAAAAAAAAGTGTCTTCCCATTTGAGGCATAGATATTTCAGGAGTACCTCATTCTATGCTTCACCTACCAATATCATAATGCAGCATCTACATTTTGCAATTACATGCAAAGCGTAAACCATGCATATAGGGAATAAAAGCAGCAGAAGATATGCTCACTTACCAAGTCATAAATATAAACACAAGAATCGTGAGATCCAGTGTAGATGTACTTCTGACCAGTACTGCAAAAGGTGATTCAAAAAATGAAAGAATGTCAATTCTAAGTATTAGGGCTTCTAGCACATTCAAATCAGTAAAATAACATCATGCCAGGTGAAAACAAGACACAAACATGGGTTAAGCCTGATGAATGACTATAAATGCAGGTGGCAGCATATCAAATGAAGTAGCTCTCAATGAACTCTTGGACTAGCATCAGAAAAGAGCTTCTGAACTTTCATTATGACAAAAGTACAGAGATTATATGTTAAAACTCACCTATATACAGGAGAAAAGTAGCAGCGGATAAGAGTGCGCAGAACCGAATGACCTTTATATGTGGCTACTGATTGATCACAGGGGTGTTTCAAATCTCTTGCCTCATATGGGTAGTCCATCCACCTGTAGTCCCATTCATAATTCCTAAGCCCTGAATAGCTACAGTAGAAAAGAATGGTATTATTAGAGTGGTCTAATAATTGTCAAAGTGAACAACAGCAGAACCTTTTCTTCTTTTTTTTTTCATTTGACTCGATATAACAACACAGCTAACCCATGATCATTCTCAAAAGTGAGCCTGAACGGTTAAAAGTTGTGGTTTGGTGCAAATATCAAAGATGATACACGTCAATGTACATTACCATGCCAGGTCATATTTGCAAATATCAAAGATGATACACGTCAATGTCAATGTACATTACCATGCCAGGTCTTATTATCATAAATAAAAGACAGAATTCAAGGGCAGAACAGCAGGTGAAGTATACCTAGCAGCATTAGGGGCCATTTTCCGAATATCCCAAAGTTTGATAGTCTGATCTTTACAATTTGAAATAAAATACCGACCATCTCCATGGCTGTCGATAAATGTTATGCCTTCTAAGTGTCCTGTTAGGACTCCAGCTGGCTTCCCTTTTGCAATAAAGCAGCGTCTATCCCACACCTACACTAAATTAATGACATTTGGTATCCTTTGCTTAGTAACACACATTACAAGACAATCATGCCAACCATTTCTTTTCAGCATGGTATTTAAGGTTTTTTTTTGTCTTTTTATATTGGCATGCATTATACAGACGGAATTTTATGAGAAAACTGAAATCCCACATTGAACAATAATTTGCCATGTTAATGACATAAAACTACTTTATAAAATGCCAAAAAGAATTGTGTCAAAGCTTGTAAGCAACATAATTTTAGCAGTGTAGGGTAGAATACCCATTTATGTCCCACAGGAACTGACTACTATTACAACTATATAGCTACAGATCCAACCAAAGCTTTAACAGCAAAGAAACTATTTATATCATAACATAAACGCCAAGTACAAGCATTCTTGAATTCAGTTTCTTTAATCAGCGCTGGCAATCTGTTATCATGAGATTTGGTACTAATAGCTTTTCTTCACGAAAACTAAACTATTAAACCATTGGCCAGAGTGCTCCTAACCACAAAGGTACTGGAAAGCCATGAATGTTTCATGCCAAGCAGCTACAGTACTGAGGCCACTGTCATGTAATCTTGGTATTGGTATCTCAAAGATACAAGATTAAGACACGAGGAACACTGAAATAAACGGTAATGATAGCAAGAATTATGATTTCCAAGACAGAAATCTTAACAGCTATTTATTTCAACTCAATAAAGTCTTATTATGCAAAACACCGCGTCAACTAAATAAAAATTTCAACAATCAGAAAATCCATCATAGGAAATAGAATTTCACAAAATATAATATTTTCTTTGAAATAGCATGATGAGCTGAAATATAATGTCTTTGAAGATGCTGGTTAGATTCAAATGAATACCTAATAATATAAGACAGAATGATAACTTTCCTAGAGCTTTCAATATTCAATACAAGAAATTAATATAACTTACCTTGCACAGATTATCATCACTCCCAGAAAAGATAAGGTGGC